GCAAAGACACAAACAATCACTTAGTATTCATGCATATAATGGGCCTTTCATTGGGATTAAATTAGAGTTTCAGACAATGGGCTCGACAATTGGACCTCTATAAATGTGGCCAGGTCAAATCCGGGATGGGTGGCAACGCAAAGCTTTTAAAAACCGACCTTCTTTAACACTGAAGGTGTCTCCTTAAAGATTTTTCCTAGACACCACATCAAGTAAGAGGTGACCATTAGTAAGCCCCATTCCAATATCTAATTTTAGGCCGAACTAGAGCCTGCTTGATGAACATCCTAAATATGGATCATTTTGCTAAATGACGTGTTCAAAAAAAACCCAATCCAATAGTTCACAATTAAATAATCAAGTAATCATATTTAAATATTCTTCTAAAGAGCATACCTTTCTAATTTAAAATACTCAATCAACATGAACAAATTTAATTAACATAATCATTTTGACATTTCAAGAAACATGGCATAATGTGGTTAATTATTTAATATTGGTAGTTTAATTTTAAAACAAAATTAAAATTAACCTAATAAAGCAAAAAGCGTTTCTGTCATTTCAACAAATTAAAAACGTCTAAACTACCAAAACTAAATATGCACCTTTGTAGGTCAGTGAACCACAATGATTCACTCACCAACTGCGTCCCAAAAACACGTCACACTCGCTGCCCAAAGTAGCGGTGCTAAAATTTTATTTTTTTTAATTTCTTTTAAATCGCACAATGGCCCACACACTGAGGGTGGCACATGACCAACACGCACCACCTTCTGGCTATCCACTGCCGTTATGGCGACCTCCATTAGATTCAACTCCCTGAGATGAGTTCAACAATGTAAAGAATATCCTCGTATACCTAGCGGTACCAGTGTACTTGCCTAGGCCGAGAGTGGAAGATAACAAATCATTGTTCATCTTCTTCCTCATGAAATCTGAAATTTCTAGATTTCATGTTCTCATGAAGCCTATTTACAGAGGCGTTAACTTTGTCAGTATGCATCTGTTTTATGCATATTTTATGTCACTTGAAAGTTCAGATTACTGTCTACAATTAAGTCTTTCTTGGGTGAATTCCAAAAACAACCCTAAGTGCACGAAAAAAGGCTCGCAAAAACCTTGGAAAAAAATCGTTTTTCATGCTAATTTGAGACTAGGGTTTCAATTTTCTCTCTAACCATCTGGTTTTTCTTTACCAAATTTTAAAACTAATTTCAAATGAATGTAAAGAACATATCCCATGCATTAAAACCAAGAAAACACTAGCATGCGAAAAACAAAATTTTAAAAGCAAGCATCCATGGTTTTTCAACATTCCTAACATGGCATATTCATAAATATCTCATATAATCATGCGAGGAGTGTGTGAGTGGCTTTGATACCACTGTTGGAAGAACGTACATACCTTACTGCAGAAGCTTGAATCTCAACATGCTCCTACAAACACGAACAAGTGCTTTGTTCTTTCATGCACGTCTAGAACTTCAAAGGTTGTTGGGTTGGCTACGGTATGTCGATTTGCCCCTTGGTTTTCGCCTCCCAAGACCTAGGGCAGATAGTGATAGCCTTAGAGACCTAACTCGAATATGTGAACTTTATGGAAAAACCTTGTATTTCTCTCACCCTAGTTTCTCTCTTCCCTTAAGCCTCCTTATATAGCTTTAGGAAGAGGATGATACAATGAATGAAATGCCATTCACATTCCAAATTGAAATGGCTTTAGACATTCATCTAATTACTATATAAGTAATTAGGAGGTTAATATCCTCGTGTGGGTGGACTCTTCACCTTATGGTATTTATCATATAATTAGATAAATCCTACATTTAGAAATTGGAAGCCCCCCAAAAATTAGAAATTTTTTTTGGAGAGTGCTAAAAAGAGCGATTGCTATGAAAGTGAATCTTTTTAAAAAACACCTATCAGACTTTCCAATATGTCTCATATGTGAACATGAGGAATCTGTACAACGCTGCTCCTCCTACGTCCATGGGTGGATTGGATTTGGTTTGGAGGACAACTGAATTATAAGGTGAATAAAGGTGAAATCATTACTTTTAGTGAATGGTTAAGTACTTTGATAAGTACAGAAATGGGGCATAAAAGGGATAAAACAATTATTATGGCCCAAGTAGCTTTCACTTGTAGGCATATTTGGAAGTTTAGATCGATGTAATATAATTTTCAATCATAAACCTATCTGTCCTACGCAGTAATACATGCCATCTTTTTTGCTTATGAAAACTATAGGGAGGCTAAGCGAAGTCAAGACGATAATCGCCATCAACAAAATACTTAGATGTCTTCGATGCAGCAAATTGGTTGGTATCCTCCATGACACCTTTTTTTTCACAATAAATGTTGATGCAAGTTGGAATCCAAGTACTAGGTAAGGTTATGTTAGTATTGTGATAAGGGATCGATGCTGGTGAAAAATTTGTGGCAGCCATAAAATCTCCCCATAAAGTTCCAAAATTTTCTATTGCAGAAGCTATAGCCGTGCTTGAAGGATGTATGCTTGCAAAGCAGCAGGGTATCAATGATGTTGTGATAGAATCTGACTCAAAAGAAACTATATTCTATCTGCAAAGCTCCATTGAAAATGGAAGTTGGGAAGATCTTCCTACACTAAATCATGAATAGTGCGGAGTTTTTCAACTTTTGCCGTTGGTTTTATGATTCCTAGATCAGCAAATACGGCAGCAGACTTCACGGCATTGCCTAGAAATTAATGTGGAGATGAGCGTTTGGTACTTGGGTGAACAGACACCCATCTTCGCTGGTTCATATCCTTGACAAAGACGGATTGCCATGCCCTCCTATATAGTGATTTTGTTGGGTGTTTACGGAGAGAGGGGTTAGCATTTGATGCAACGTCTGTGTTCTTGTAACCCATTTTCACCATATGTATTTTGGAGGAGTTGTCTGTTTCTTCTCCTCAGTTAGTCCTTTCTTGGAGTTTCTTTGTGACTTTGGCTTTTGGCCCTGATTAATATAATGCCAATTTATAAATAAATAAAATAAATAAATAAAAATAAGTTTGCCCCTCCTCTGATAATTTCTGACTTCGACACTGTGTATTTATAGAGTATACTTAAAAATGAATGCACTTGCTAAACTTGTAAATGTTTGTTAAATGCTTGGGTTTATTGGCTGGGCCTTTCAATTTCATTTATTGTGTAGCCTTTCACAACCTGTCTTTTGGGGAATCAACTTCCAACTGGCTAGCAGATGAGATTGAGTAAACAGCTGCAGGCTTCCAGCAAGGCAAGGGGGCAGCAACGATTGTGAAGAAAGATCGCAATACTGCTACTACTGTCTCTTCTCTCTTGTGGGGCCTCCTTATTAGACTTTGGGTGATGTATCATCGTGTTTTGTTTTGTTTTGTGCTACCGACCGACTACCTATATCTAATTAATTACCTATATCTAATTAATGTATTACCATCGTTTCCCAAATTCACCACAAAACAGAAGAAAACGTTGGTATCAAAAACTAAACCAAGTCTACCAAATTTTGAATTTTGACACCAAAACAGAAGGCATATATAATGAGAATTGTTATTGGTACTCTAAAAATCTCATTCTACACTCCAAACTTTTTATATTTGGAAAGAAAAATACACTTGTGAGGAGTGTAGAATGAGATTTTTAGAGTGCCAATAACACTTCCCTGTATAATAAGGTGATATATATCGTATAAGGTGGAACAAGTTTGTTATTTTCTTTTATCACATTATGCACATATATATGTTGATGTAGCACTTAATAATAAATATTGTTGGGAACCTAGCTTGTCGGATACCTTTTTTTTTTTTTTTAATTTTTTTTTATAAACAAACGATATTATCTACCCTAAAGAAGTGGGGGATTGAGCTAAGCCTTACAATGGGCTATGAATAACATGGTTCGAATTTGCCTTTGGGGAGAACCTAGCCTAAGACCTCTCACTCTCAAGTAAAGAAAAATATCATTAGACCGTAATACTAAGTGGTAGCTTGTCAAATACTTAAGCGTCTTTGTTATTCTTACTCTCTATTTAGTAATTTGTATGAGTAATGCTACGTAGATCAATTAGCAATTATCCAATTTGTAATTACCATGGTCCCCTTGACCTTACCCAATTAGTAATTACTATGGATATAATAGGGTCTTAAGAGCCACTCAGTATTACGGCATGGTGATATTCCTCTTCAGTTGTAAGTAAGAGGTCTTAGGTTCAAATCTCGTGGATGGCGAATTCGATACCAAATTAGGTTGCCCATTATGTGGCTTAACCGAACTCCTCTTAATATAAAATATATCGATGTACTATAAAAAAAAAGGGTCTTAAGAAATCACCATGAAATATATTAATAATATGGAAAGTAGTCTAATTATTTATAAACACATGTAAAGTCACTCATCTTTTAATGTGAAATTTATACTCTTAACAAAATCGATGTATTTATGTCCTTCAATTATTTTGTAACTTGCTTATGTGTAACCACTAGCTCTCAAATTTCATGTACCCACCACCTTGATTATACTATGAGATTGTGCAGTGGGTTTCAAGATGAATTTCACTTCTGAAGCTTGAGGTTTTTTATCTCGAAGTTTTATCTTACGTGATTTTATTCCAGAAGGTTTTTTATTGAGTCCCACGTCGTTATTGCACTACATCTACTGTACTATTTCTTTTCTTTGGATATGTATTTGCACTCAGAAAAATACCAAATCTCTCTAGGGTTAACCAATTAGGGTGATACATAATAACACACAAATGTAGAGAGATTTTTTTAAGTAGCGGTCAAGCGGTATACGTGCCTCAATATGAGTAGAGAAAATAATATATTATTTTTGTTTCTCTACCTATTTTATGACTAAAAATACCCGCTTGAATAACAATTAAAAAAATTTCAGCATGAGTCCACCAAAAGGAAAAGAATTGCGACGGTGAAATTAATGTATTGACAATTAATAGCGATTGGTTTGGTTTGGTAGTCGTTGCGCCCATTGATTAATTTCGGCTTGCCCAAAATTGAGAAAAATCCCTTTCCCACTCAACCCACTGAGCCCAATAATATTTAACTTGAACCTCCTCCTCAGTCCTCCCTAAAAAAACCCCAAAAGACATACCTAGCTACCTCCAAACTCCAAACTATTTTGTGCAGAAAAAACCAGAGAGCTAGAGCAACAAAATGGGCAAAGCCATTGTTGCTACCGGTTCCATCATGTTGTTGATGGCAATACTTGTTCATGGCGTTTCAGCGCAGCTGGCACCGGCATCGGCCCCAGCCCCGGCAACGACTGATTGCGAAACAAGCCTGCTGGGGCTGTCAGATTGCCTGACGTACGTGGAGGAAGGCAGCAATTTGACCAAGCCAGATAAGCCGTGCTGTCCGGAGCTGGCGGGGCTCGTGAAGGACAACCCCATCTGCTTGTGCTACTTGCTCGGCAACACCAGTAACAGCTATGGCATTCAGATTGACATGAACAGGGCTCTCAAGCTTCCTACTGTTTGCAAAGTTGATACTCCCCCCGCTAGCACTTGCGCAGGTATTTTATTATTTAATTAGTTTTTAAATATCTCTCATTCCGTAATTTATTATCTTAAGTCTTTGATGATATTGCAATGAAAACGTGTACCCATCTCATATCAACAACCACCTAATTAAAATTGATTTAACATTGTAGAAAGGGGTGTGATATCCACACACCCCTTTTTACTTTTCACACACTTTTCTAATTTTCGGCCATCAGATCCGATAAAATGAAGAAGATCAACGGACAGAACTTAATAAGGGGTGTATGAAAAGTAAAAATGGGTGTGTGGATAGCACACCCCTTATAGAAACCACTTACAAACTATAATTTATTTAATAGTAAATTGTTTGTTATTTGTTTTTTGTGATAGAATAATATATTTACAATAAATGAGTGAGGAGTAAGTAAATTGATATCAAAATTGTGTTTGAGCCTAAAACTTTTGTTGTATAAATAAATATGAATATTACTAAACTGAGTAAATTGATATCAAATTTGTGATTTGAGCCTAAAACTTTTGTCGTATCAGTGAATATAAATATTACTAGTCTGAGTAAATTGATATCAAAATTGCAATTTGAGCCTAAAACTTTTGTCGTATCAGTGAATATGAATATTACTAGTATGAGTAAATTGATATAAATTGCAATTTGAGCCTAAAACTTTTGTCGTATCAGTGAATATGAATATTATAGACTGAGACATTTTTCATATGATTTTTTTTTAATATAAACAAATCTTTTTTCTTTGGGGTTACAAAAAAAAAAATGAGCTTGGAACATCCAAAAATGATGAATGAAAAAAAAGGCACCGAATATATGTGCTCATTCACACACCCCTATATGATTAATTAATGATTGTATATATTCTGATGGTTTTATTCACTTGGTTACCCAAGTCTTGCATTCGACTCACGCTTATATCAAATATAACAATAATTCTAACCCTCACTTACTAGTTTGATTGATTTTATGGCGCCTCAATTTTTTCTTCGTGCACTTGTTATTTTTCTGCTTATAAATTGAATAAATCAAAAGAAAGTTCAGAAATAAAAATAAGAAAACGAGTGGATAAGGTAAAAATGAATTTAAAAAAAAAAAGTGAAAAACAATAACCTATATATGTAATTTTATTATATATATGTGTGATACATTTTCCAGTTAATGATGAGCATTGAATAGCGGCATGATGCATGATGATGTAGGTGAGTTAGGGCTGCCAACCATCCACATTTGAACGCTCCCATTAACCCCATTAAAGCTTCCTACCAGCAAATTTTATCTCATCAATCATCACATGCATGTCAGTTTTGAAGAAATCAACAAAACACACTCACAAGTCACATGGTCTCTCTTCGTCTGCCGGCAACCCTAAGTCATAATAAATGTGCAACTTCAACACACTTTTGGTTTTTGTGTTTTTTTTTTTTGTTTTTTTTTGGGTATTGTGAGGGCCAACAACTCTACCGTTGCTCATTGCCTTAGGCATAGGCAACCCAATCCACTCCCTTCATTTCCCAAAACACTGTAGCCCACTCAAGAAATTAGGCTCAATGCAAGGCCGCTGGAGCAGTCAGGCAATAATCGTCTAACCCAACGCCCTACTTATGTAACTCAAGGATGATGTTAGCCATAATTTAAATTATTAAAAAATTAAAAAAAAAAACTAATTAAAAATAAAAAAAATTATATATATATTTTTTTATGTAAATACCTAACCATGTTCTTCCACTTTACACTACATTTCAATAGTTTCAAATACTTTAAACCAATGTTTTACTATTGTCCGAAATTAAAAATAAAATTATCTTTCATTATTTTATAAAATAAAAAATACTAATATGTTAATACTAATTTTTTGGGCTACTCAATTAGGGGTGGAGATGCATTTTACTGTTCACTGCAGGCAACTAGTTATTGTTCATTTAAGGAGATTGAGTTGCCTATTGCCCAGAGGGGCCTTACTACACTGGAATTGCTCTAAAGTCTAGGGTAGTGCTATCCACATACTCATTTTTACTTTTCACACAACCTCTTAATTTTCAGATCGAATGAATTGAATAAGATCGGTGGCCAAAAGTTAACAAGGGTGTGTAAGAAGTAAAAATCAATATGTGAATAGCATTACCCTAAAGTTTAATGCAAAATTGTTACAAGGAAAAAGAAAACCACTACTCCCTTTTTTCCCTTCCATTTTTATTTCCAGTCATTGATTGAAGAAAACGAGTGTGACCACTTGAGATTTCAAATAGAGAAGACAAATACAGTTTATTTGAGGGTTACTTTGTAATGTACTTTCATACCCTAAAAATTAAAAGTGGTAATCCTAAGATCCATTGACGTATATTAATTTAGTGTTGTGATTAGTGATACTAACTCTTTTTGTTATAATCTTTTTCTTGAATGATACAGTTCTGGGAATCCCAGTGTCTGCTCCCATAGCTTCTGAAGGGCCTAACTCTCCTGGTATACATTTTTGTTTTAATTCATATATATATATATATATATATATGTATGTATATATGTATGTATGTATATATGTAATGTATTAATTAGAATATAGAACATTCTTCTAAGTAATAATCTCGTCTTTTTTTTTCTTTTCTGTTTTTTTTTTTTTTTTTTTTTTTTTTTTTTGGTTATATATATAGATTTTGCGGAATCACCTGAAGGACCTACTGCGGCTGTCGGTTCACCAGAAGCCAATAAAATTAAAAATGGAGCTTCGAGGACTGCTGACTCTGTTATGGCTCTCCTTGGTGGCTTAGCTATTGCATTTCTTCCCGCATTCTTCTGATTTTACTACATTTGCTGATTTATTTTGTTTCAAATTTATTTGAAAGATGTTTATTTAATCGATTGTTGTTGCATTGCCAGATGATATGTGGTTGTTATTGACTCTAATAAATATATATATGCTATATTTAGGAATTTTATTTAATTCGCTTTGTTAAAGAGGGAGGAGGGATCATTGGGTTGGTATACTTGCATTAATCTCAATCGAGGAAGAGTATTTGTTTGTGGACTCAGAGTTTGTTGAAAATTGGGTACATAGGTCAGTATTCTTAATTACTCATGGGCCACGGCTATTTATTACCATTTAGTTTCGCTTATTTCGAAAATTGAAAACTCGTTTGGTAATTTTTTTAATTTTTAAATTTTTTTAAATCAAAAAGTTAAAATTTGAAAACTATTGCAAGACATTTATATCCATCTACTAATTAATTAGTGATGGATAGGCCATTATAGTTGGTGATGGATAAACCATAATGTCTCAAATGAATAGGTTAGTCATTCCACAATTAATTGTTGTAACCGTTAGGCTGTTCATTCCTCAATTGGTTAGGCAATTGATTCTCACTGTTGAATTAGGGGTATTTGTGTAATTTTCTAAGATAGCCACACCACTATATAAAGGTGGCTATGCCTCACATTGTAACACCAAGAATTTCTCTAATAGAATTCTCTCATTCTCTTTCAAATTATTTTTTATACAACACGTTATCAACACTTTTTCTCTTAATAGAATTAAAACCTGAAGTTTGGTTTCTCTTACCTATTTGGCAACAATCCTCTAAATTTTTGAAGTATTTCGTTTCATGATTTCAAGTTCATGTCAAACTCGAAATGATACACCCCGACCCGGAATGCCCACTAGGACTCCGAATCGAGCCGTGCTGGTCAACACCTGGAAGGTGGCAAAGCTATAAAGTGTAGTGATGTGAAAAATGTGAATAAATTTAAACCTAAAACTGCCTAAATGTAAAAGTGCGCTGTGAACAGGAATGAACTCATTTCAAACGTGATTACAAAGCATAAGTAAAGCACGGTAAGGTAAGATAAGGATTATATCGTCATAGGTAGCCACCTATACTATGATATGCCAAGAATCCTCGCCGATACAAAACTTTAGCAGCTAAAACCTGGATGGGCGAAAAACAGAAGGGTGAGTGGGTAGAAACAAAGCTTTAGAAAAATAAATTTATCTTTTCTAAAAATACTAACCCCTCTCTGTAAACCCCGTATAGTTTCCAGAAAATACTACTATGTAGGTATGAAAACCAATGCACAAAAGCAGCGAAAACTGAATATGCCATGTCATAATATCTCAGCAATAACAAGTGTAAGCTAAGTGTGAAACCAACATAAAATAGTAAGCCAGTCAGAGTCACCTAACGTGACCTGTACGACTGGACCTGTAGCACTAGCACACGAGTCGGAGTCACCTAATGTGACCTATACGATAAGCTGGGTATAAATAAGTACGCTCAAGTGCTACCATCACGTGAAAGTTGTACGATAAATCGCGGGTCACCTATAAGTCAGAACCACTTATTATGGTCTGTACGACAGGCTGGCACCAGACTTGGATCCAAGGTGAGCATGCGGTGCGGGTGAAGGTTAGCCCTAGCCCCAGGCGGGAGCACTAATACCGGGGTGCAACCATGATGAGCTCTCGACAAATGTATGTATACCAATGCAATACAACTTATTCAATCACATAATACTCACCTGAAGCTTACCTGAGTCTCCATAGCATCACACGATACAATTCACAAATATAACAATGCAATATTTAAAATGTAACTTATTACGACATGGCATTCAAAGTATAATCATTTTAAGAAAAACGTTATGGAAATCGTAATATATATATATATATATAAAGCAAATGCCCACTCACCTGAAGTCCACACTACAACTCTCTAGCACAAATATCAAGGCGTCTCAAACGATCGGCGCCTAGAACAATTATAAAATCACAACTCAGAATTCTTATCGACAAAACACATAAATTACGTAAAACACATCCCCAAGGACATTCTACAATGATTGAGACCCATTGACCAAAAGTCAACTGTCGGTCAAAGATCGATGGTAGGGTCCACAACCCTACATAACTCAATCCGAAAGATCCGCCTCACAAATTTCCGATCTGTTAACTTCCAAAGATCCACATTATTCTTCTAAAACTTCATACTAAAGTTTTATTACGATCCAACGGTTAGATCTCCGCCAAACACAATTCAAGTGGCGGTTCACGATTTATTTTACGAGCTTACTACTCCAATTCGGGAAGATCCGTACATCAGATTCCCAATCCGTACGTCAAATTCCCGACCGTACTATTTTCCTTAAATATTATGTACTATAACTTATTAAATTTTGATGACAATCCAGCGGTCGAATCATCTATTCATATATTGACCAAGTGAAATCCCAAATTCAACGATCGGGCTGTCAATGAAATCAAGGCATCTAATTTAGCCTAAAAATACGGATTTCAAGGCAATCCAGCGGTCGGGCTGTCATTTTGGTGACAATCCAGCGGTCGGGCTTTCATTTTTAATAAGCATTGACAGCCCAATCGCTGAATACGAATATTAAAAATGAAATCAAGGCATCTAATTTAGCCTAAAAATAGCATTGACAGCCTTCTGGCCATGCACCGCTGTGGGTGGCGGTCGGCCGCCCCAACTCACAAAAGAATTTCAACTATTTCAAAAATTTCTCAAATTTCACAGAAATGAAGATCTCAAATAGTAGAGCAAACTTTATACATGTGGCCAAGTCCAATTTTTCCAAGAAATGCTCCAAATTGACACAAACCCGCTGAAAACCCTTGATTAGGGTAGTTGTCGATTCGTCACCAAAACGAACTCTGATGCCTCATCCAAGGCTTTTACCTCGTTCTTGGGGTTGAGAGAAGTCTTTTTCTGGTGGTCATCGACAGTGAAGCTCACTAGAGCCACCAGAAAAAGATTAAAGCCACCAAAAAGGTCGTGGGCTTTGTGGCTTCAAACTGGAAAAATGGGAAAGAAATTGGGAAATATAACACTAACAGATGTAGGGCTCGTCAAGGGCTTTCCATGGACACCAAGATCACCCAAAACGAAGTACATATGAAGGAGATATGAATGAGTCAAGTTGGCGGGTCGGGTGGAGAAACCGGGTTTAGCCGGTTCTCTCCTTCTCCCTTCCCTCATTTCCCTCATTTCCTTTCTTCCTTATTGGTCACTCCCTCTTTCTCTTCTTTTTGATTGGGCGTCTGATAGGAGCATATTTAGGCGACTTACTTAGCTTGTTTTCGTGCATCTATGTTGGTAATTCATAGTTATTTTAGTCCTTTATGCTTCTTTTGTGTGTTTTCAGGTTCTAAGGGCTTAGGGAGCAAGAAAGTGCATTTTGAGGCTATTTGGGCCACTTTTGGGCATGGATTGGATAGCTTAATCATGGAGCAAAGAGGATGGACGAAATTGAAGCCTTGTATGCTCTTTGGGGACATCAAACAAAGGGCCTAGCCCAATCAAACAAATCCTTTGAGCCATGGAAAACCTCTAGCCCAATCAAACATATTATGCCATGCAAACCAACCTATTTTAGGCCCATTCTATGTACTTAAACCCTAGCCCTTTAAACTAGTCCATTTATCACTTATCACTTCCATTCACTTATCACTCACCACATATCATTCATTTATCACCACATATCATTCATTTATCACTTATCAAACCTTTCACTTATCACTTCCATTCACTTATCACTTATCAATTCCATTCACTTATCACTCACCACATATCATTCATTTATCACTTATCATACTCATAATCATCTACACATTTCAAACATATGCATTTCATCTCACATGCACACCCACCTCTTTCCAAACTAATTCACATGCATACCTATTCTTTAAATCAACACATGCATTCACACACATGCACATCATTCACTCACATTTCCACCATTCATTCTTTATTCCACAAACAAGTCACATGCATTTCCACCTTCCTACTTCATCATTTCACCACATTCTCCCTCTTTAACTCATTTCATTATTCATTCACTTTGCATTCATTCAATTCCACCCCACATGCACCCTTTATTCTTCATCATTGCAACCATGGCACATTTACACCAACAAAACAACTCCCATGCCATGGCCTACTCATATTCCCATTTCCTTTCCAACATCTCACATGCATTTCCACCTTCCTACTTCATCATTTCACCACATTTTCCCTTTTATTTCCACATGCAATTCTTCATCATTGCAACCACAAACACCTTAAACAAATAGCCATATACATCTCCACTCCTCCTATAAATACCCTTGCATTCATTCATTCAAAAATCATCTCATTCACAACACAACACAAAACCACAAACACATCCACCTTCCTTAGCCGTGAGTCTCCCTTAGAATCCAAAAACCATCTTCCATTTCCACCACTCCTCATCCATTTCCATAATTCCCCAATCCATTCAACACACCAACAACATCCCTTAGACCTTGTGCCACAATAAAGAGGAAGAGAAGAGTGCCTAAACATTCATACAATTCAAGTTTGAGTTGTTGGAATGTTTAGGTGTTTCTTTGATTTCAATGCTTAAATTCAATTCTCTTTGTTTTGTACGTATGAGGAATGGAAGAGAAGAGTGCCTAAACATTCATACAATTCAAGTTTGAGTTGTTGGAATGTTTAGGTGTTTCTTTGATTTCAAAGTTATGAGGAACTAAACCCTTTTTAGCTAGGGGTGATTTCAATACCATGATTATTTATGTAATATGAATTGATGAATTCCGGTTATGAACTCTTGATTCGTGAATGCATTTGGCTTAACTATTTGATGATTAACTTATTTGTGTTTGTTGATTGAGGGTCGACACTTAATTAGCATGCATGAATATGTGGCTAAAGTTTAAGAAGGTTTCACATAATCGTTACTAACTTATACTTGAAAGTAGTGAAGGTCGCTTGTCACGATCGCGTTAAGTTGAATTCTTAGCATGAATAACATGATGTCATAATTGCAAATGCTTTGTCAATGCTTATGGTTTTCATTATTCTTAATGATCTTCGATTGTATCTCTATTATGATGACATGTAGGGAACTTTTGAGAATGTTTTGGGTTGTCGAATGATGCCATCCAATCCA